AGAAACCGGTTTTCGAACCCGGCACTCAGAAATGCCTTTCAGCCTCTCCCACCGTCGAGAGTTCCTTTCAATGGGGTTTCAACGCCGCCACGAAATAGCGGCTCTAGTATTGCAAACATTATCGGACAAACTAGCATGTTTGATTTCACAAATGGGCTTGATACATTTGGCAATCCACTGCCTAGTCGTCTGGCGAATGTACTCTCAGATGATACTCATGAGTCGCCTGTGACGGGAAAGGAGCTGGATGACTTATTGGCGAATATTCGTCCTGATGTAGATATTCCAGAGCATAATCGTGGTGTTGGTCCGCCTGGGCTTAAGTACCCCCTCTACCGCCACCAAGAAGTTGCTCTTGCCTGGATGAAACAAATGGAAGAAGGCACTAATAAGGGTGGTATCTTGGCCGACGACATGGGACTAGGCAAGACAATTTCCACCCTGTCGCTCATGCTTTCCAACCAGTCCAAATCTCGTCCAAAGGTGAGTTGCGTATAATTTCACCGCTATCTCCAGACACTTCGCTTACGTACAGTGCAGACAAACTTAATCATTGGCCCTCTTTCGCTGATTCGACAATGGGAAGAGGAATTGTACAAGAAGACCAAGCTTGCGCATAAATTTTCGGTGTTTGTGTATCACAGCAAAAAAACGACCACCTATGAGCTCCTGAAGCACGACGTTGTGCTCACCACCTATGGCACTTTGGCACAGGAACTCAAGCGCCGTGAGAAGTTCATTCAGGAAAACAAAGATAGGAACATCGACTGGAATGATAAATCTTGTATGGCTAAGTTTCCGCTGCTACATCCAGAGAAAGCTGTCTTCCACCGCATCATATTGGACGAAGCGCAATGCATCAAAAATAGGAATACCCAAACGGCAAAAGCTTGTCACAGCTTAAGAGCGACCTATAGGTGGTGTTTGACTGGCACCCCAATGATGAACGGCATTCTCGAGCTCTATTCCCTCCTAAAATTCCTGCGTATTAGGCCGTATAATGCCTGGGAGGACTTCCGTCAGGTGAGCCATCAGAATTCGCGTGTGGATTTTGACTATTTGGGCTAATCTCCACATAGACTTTTGGCACATTATTCGGCCAGTACGGCGACCCTAGGAGCATTGCCATGAACAAGCTTCGAGCACTACTCAAAGCAATAATGCTACGCCGAAAGAAGGACTCCAAGTTAGATGGCAAGCCCATCTTGCAACTTCCTCCGAAGAGGGAACATATCGTATACGCCGAGCTATCCGTGGACGAGCGCGACTTTTACAAACAACTTGAGGAGAAGGCCCAAGTGGTTTTCAGCAAGTATCTTCGAGAGGGGAGTGTGGGGAAGAATTATTCCAACATTCTCGTGTTGCTTCTTCGACTTCGGCAAGCATGCTGTCATCCTCACCTCAATTTGGACGTCGACGACACAGCCAAACCCATCGCGGATGAGGAGGTGGAGAAACTAGTCAAGAAACTGGATGCAACTATTGTAGAGAGAATCAAGGGTGTTGAAGCGTTTGAATGCCCCATATGCTATGATGCAGTACAGTCGCCATCATTCTTCGTACCCTGTGGTCATGATAGTTGCCAGGATTGTCTATCTCGCATCGTAGACAGTGCCATCGCGCAAAATCTCCACGAAGGCAACGAGAGTGACAAGGCTAAATGCCCTGTGTGTCGAGGTGTTTTCGAGCCAAGAAAATGTTTCACTTATGATTTGTTCAAGAAAGTCCACATGCCGGACACTCTGGAATCGTCGACGAAAATCGAACCAGAGTACGATGTCTCTAGCGAGGACGAAGAAGACGGCTCAGAAGGCGGGTATCCTTCAGATGAAATTGACAGCAAAGGGAATCTTAAAGGATTTATTGTCTATGACGACGATGAGCTTGCCGACATCGACGAGCTAACAAAGGAGGTCTCCGCCCGTGACACGAAAGCGCGAAAACAGACTAAGAAGACTAAGAATAAGTGACACGAAAGCGCGAAAACAGACTAAGAAGACTAAGGATAAAGGCAAAGAGAAGGGAAAAGGCAAAGAGAAGAAGCCAGACGTGAAGCCATCCATGCTCAAGAGCCTTCGTCTAGAGGCAGCCAAGAACCACAAAGCATATAAGCGATATATGACGTACCTACGCAAGACATGGATGCCAGCAGCCAAAGTCACCGAATGCATGAAGCTGCTCAGAGAAATCCGAGAAACCGGCGAAAAGACCATCATCTTTTCCCAGTGGACGCTGCTCCTAGATCTCCTGGAAGTGGCCATGTGGCATGAGCAATTCCCAGAAAAGCCCATTCGGTACGACGGCAGCATGACCGGGGAAGAACGCAGTAAAGCAGCCAAAGCATTCAGAGACCTGCCCGAGTGCAATGTCATGCTCGTGTCCCTCCGCGCCGGCAATGCAGGCCTGAACCTCACGGCCGCGAGTCGCGTCATTATCATGGATCCCTTCTGGAACCCGTACATTGAAATGCAAGCCATTGACCGGACCTACCGCATAGGGCAGCCGAAGGAAGTAGAGGTGTATCGAATCCTGACGCAGGAGACAGTAGAAGACCGCATCGTGGCACTCCAGAACAAGAAGAAGGAGATTGTGGAGGCGGCGCTCGACGAGACGGAGAGCATGAAGATTGGTCGTTTGGGCGTTAGTGAGCTTAAATTCTTGTTTAATGCGCGCTGAGGAGCACCGGATACCCCCTTGCATGGACTGGCTTCGCGGTCTGTGGAGGGCCTACGACGTGAACCGGGGTTTGTGGATTATCGAAGCAGAGGAATTAGATGTATGCGGGGACTTGGCTGCCCGGCTATCAATCATAAAGGATTCTACGGTAAATGACGGTGCATCGAGGCGGCCTTGTGAGCGAGGAGGGAGCCAATACAGCCATTTATATGGCAGCACTTGACAACCAGCACATTAGCTAGCACACACAGGAGCAAAGACGGCCCACGCAGGCCGGTCGTAGTCGCCCTCGATGAGGTGGGTAGTGGACATGACGGAGGGGAGGATACACCCGCCGCCGGATGGGGCTCGGCGCCTCAAATAACCAAGGCTGCTTCCTACTAGCATCATCCAATACCGCCGCCTAACGCGACAGCTGAGCTTTTCCGGGCTGAAACGAGTAAAATTACTTGCGGTTTGTCTTTATATTTGGACCGAAATAAAAGGAGTTTGGGACAGTCGGCGATGGAGCAAAGGCACAAGGTTAGGGGTTTTTGCACGTGCCCGATGGCGCGAGATTTGGCAAGACACATCAATGTAGACAATGTGGTCGCGCTTAGGAGCTAGATAGAGGTTGCTCATCGCCTAATAACACAACTATTTGGGTGAATATGATGATGTCTCTTCCTCACTGCACGAGATGCGCACCCCAAACAAAAGACCGGAGCGATCGAGAAGGCCACCCACCGTCGGCTTTGACAAATCCAACGTGGCCGAATGCAATGCCACTCCAAGGATCAGTTGGTTCTGGGGCTGAAGAGCCGTGAGGAAGTTCGAAGCAGAGACGTAGCTGCGAATGTCGCGATAACGCAAAGTGAGTATTGATTGTGTGTGGCCCGCATTCTCT